GAAGTTGTAGCTCACCCTCCACACCTCTTCAGACCTTTCGCCAACCGACTATCACCTTTTCAAACATTTTCAGAACTTCCTTGCTGGAAAATACTTCATCAATTAGGACCAGGCAAAAAAGCCTTCGTAGATTTCGTGGATTCTCGACCACCCAGTTTTTCTTTGATGGGATTTCTCGACTGCTGTCACATTGGCAAAAGTGTGCTGATTCGAATGGTGCTTATTTCGATTAAATCCGATGAGTATTAAGAAAGTTATGATCGTTTAAAGTGAAACACCCAAAACGCTGAGAACTTTCCGGACAACCTAATATTTCGGATTTCAACCTTCTGACTTCCTGTCAACCTACTGGTCAAGTCCTTAATTACGGAACTGCGACGTGGCGCCTTCGTCAGCTCGCTGCTTTTGCCCAATTTATCAGCGCAGGGTCACGACAAGTATTTGCTCGATAGATCTTAGTTATTTCCAATCCAAAAGCTTTCACTGGCTGCATTGGATTTTATTGCACTGGACTCTGGGCTAGGTCCAATGATCCATAGGACCCCTAGCAGGGCATGCAAAGAGCTCGAGACACAAAAGAGGCGAAGTGAAATACCGAATACCCCTTTCCAGCAAAGGAACCGTCCCAGCGGAGCCATAAGTGCGGTCTCTTGCCAATGCCACACTAGCACGCCACGACTATGGGTCATAATCCTTACCGGAACTTCGATACACCAGTGTACCCAAAGTGCTCGCGGAATCGACAAGTTTGGCATCGAGGTCGACTTTGAGAGGCACATTTACAATTCACAGCTTAGGCACAAGTACGCCTTATCTTCCCATAAATACGTCGCTAATGTATAACGGAACCCCACTGGAAAGGAAACGCAAACAGCTGTGGAAGCTCCGCTTAAGATTTTTCGTTTTATTATATTTCACAACTGACAGGACATTTCTATATTTTTATCTTTGGATACAAACATTTATCTAACCTGAAACTCTATATATCTACTTGACAATATCCCATCAGCATCATCCTGCTGAAATGTTTCGAAGCAAATTCCCTAATAATCGTATTCAATGATGATGATGGAGATATTCAGGATCATACGAATCCGAGTGAGGATCCAGCGACGTTTCCATCGATCTCATGGCATCATAATAAAGTTCTTTGTAATAGTACTCGAACCTAAACCAATGAAATATTACTACTTATTTTTCCAAAAAGAAATCGACAAGCTCTGAAAGATCATTGCTTCGTCAGGTCAGCATGAACTCACCATGGTTCCGGAAGGATATGATCAATTCGCCAATTCGTCAGTCCTCCTACTGGATCTCCGTTCTTCCGAATGTAACCATAACCATGTGGGGATTTGAGAACCTGAAAAAGCACTGAAGCACCGTAAGTAATAAGATGCTCTTATGGTGCAATGGAACCGCTTCGAGACCTAAGCGATTTAAGACACACTTTTTTAGCATTTTCATCGATTTATCAAGCATTGTTCGTCTTTCTGATCCTTACTAAATACATCTATACATCTTACTAAATACATACCACTTCACTGCGTTCCGGTGTATGAGCAACGCTAATAAAAAACAGCTACCTTTCTGCATTTGGGCGAAAACTTGTCACAGTGTCCATTTATGAAGTAAAATCTGCCTCACCTCTTTACGCATAACGTGCAAAAAGTGACCAGCATCGCGAGGATTAACGTAAAGCTCTCCAACTTCATGTTCGGGAATTCCTTCAAATGCGTACAGGTGAGCATCCATCTTTGAGGTTACACTGAAATGTACCCTTTGAAACATGAGAAATCTGTCAGACAAAAATTTCAAAACACCGTCAGCATTCTTCTCTTAGATGACCGCACTAAAATAAATTCAACAGGTGGGTCTATTCTAGGGCAAGGGGCCAAATATTAACTGCTATATGCTAAGTGACGCAGATGTGAAGTAAAAAAGTGAACAAATCGTCGAGGATACCCTAAATAAGGCTAGCGGATCGGACGAGTTTCCGAACAAACGAGATAATGCCAAGCTGGTGAGATGCAATAGTTGCAGAATGAGGAAACGGGAAGACGAGTGAGACAATAAATGCCGGTCCACATAACATGCGACTCCTAGCATATCTAGCGAAAGCGGGTGGCCAGGAGTCGCATGCTATGTGGACCGGCATTTATTGTCTCACACGGGTGGCTTCATTCGGTCTAGAATTAAAATGAGCGCAGTGCTCTCCTCACTAACTGCTGAATCGAGAAGGTAATGCATCCTTGAAGGCAGTTGGCACGATAAATCCCCCAAGACGAGTAGGATTAATACGCCTGGCAGGACGGAATTCGCGAGCAGGCGCTGCATAATGCCTTTTCCAAGGAGGTGCCCTTATAAGGGCCCTATCAAGCCACAACATACCGAAACGCCCGCCCGCCCACAAATGGACGACCGTTCCTGACGCTCTAATCGATTCATTTGCTAAGCAAATTATGAAGCGAAGGGATTGGTATGAAGCGGCCGTGATGCTGCATGGATATATGAGTACACATATGCAGCCGTACCTTCGGTAGCGGTTATTGGCAAGATGCCTACGGGAAACTCGTCCAAAATTGATTACTAACACAGTGAGAACGGAGGCTCTTTTTCGCAGGATTTTGACCGTTTCACTCCGTTCTTTCGCCATTTCCCCACTATATAGCGCCCTACTAGCATTTTAGGCCGAGCACCAAATATCTAAG